GCAGCCTGAGAGTAACATCCACCCTCATACCCCATAATAAAATCACACAAAACCACTGCACTGACTTACTTGATGCACTCATTATTACTTTCTGTCATTAAAATCATCTCATTCTCTTTTGACAATAAATCTATTGGTTTAATATTCTCGTTAGTCATTTTTATTGATCGGTTATCTTGGGCATTAATTTGATGCTGATGATCAATTTTGATTGGACTCGTTGAAGATTGTACATCATTTCCTTTTGTTTGATTTACTGTTGACAATAATGGTAATAATAATGATGTAGGACATGATTGATGTCGTTGAATCAAATTGATTTCATCATTTTTTTCCATACTGTTCTGTGTGTTGTTTGCGGTAGTTGAATTATTATTATAGATGATAGGCATAGATTTGGCATGAATTCTGCGTCGTTGAATCAGTTGTATATTCGTTATATTCGATAAAAGTGTTGTATTATTTTGAGATAATGATGACAGTGGTGGTCTTGGCAATGGAGGTAAACTAAAGAGAGAAAATAAAACGGTTATTTAAACAAGGGAAAGATTAAAACAGAATTTTAAAACTTTAAGGAAAGAAATGTACTAACGGAATAGATTTATGAAGTGGAAACTTTGGTGAACTATGAAAGCTATCATTTAGAAGATACAAGGGTTTATTAAGAGTAGTCTATGAAAAAATAATTAGGATTAGTTGGCGAGACATTATCAGCAACAACCTACTGCAAGTGGGAACAAACAAGATTTCAGTAGAGGAAGAAATCAGGAAGTGGTGCTTGTTAGGATATTCATCCAATATCCTAAGAGAATTGTTTGTAAGTCTTATTCTATTGGTCAATTCCTATTTGGTCGTCCTAACAGTCAATGTCACAGATTTCAGTGTTGTTTCCTATTCGACCTCACTGTATAAATACGCATTATCTGTAACGCTTTATGACCTGGACCCGGTCCCTTAGTTTGGGATTCTGATTCTCTTCTGGACTCGGACCTCATACTCTCTGGATGTTTGTAGAATACACGTTCTACTTCATATCAAGTCTTCTTATTTTTACTCAATGGGTGTTTGAGACAATCGGATTAGAGTAGCCCGTGGTGGCACTGGATCATCGACCCTCGCTCTCGTTTTCCGACTAAGGTAAACTCGTAATAGATCAAGCATATCAAGTGACCTGTTTACGTGCACATGTAACGGCGCTGGAAACGGATAAGACATATACTGAGGAAAGCGGCTAGTTGCGTCACAAGACAAGCCTTCACCTGGAATCCCCAAAGTCAAACAAGCAGAGGAAGACCAAAGAACACATTACATCGAGAAATAGAGATAGATATGAGAAGAATGAACAAAAATTGGACAGAAACGGTAAGGGGAACGCACGATATAGCATGATGGAGAATACTGGTTGGCGACCTATGTTCCATTGAGGATAACACGTAAAAGTAAGTACATAAATATTTTTCTCATGGTTTAAACCATGAACCGATGAAAGTTTGTGAACATGCTGTTGATTGATCCAGGTTAGAAATGAACATTATTAGGTGCTGACTCACTGGTCTAATGGTAAAGCATTTGTGTGCAAGACCAGACGTTTTGGCTTTGAGTCCTGGTTTTGGATATACAGTACAAGTGAGGAGCCCAATATACTAGGGGCCATCCAAAGCTTCCATATTTACAATGATGGTTTTGTTTTCAACAATATGTTTAATTTAAATACAGCATGTTATGAAAATCGATTGTATTAAAGTCGATATTGAATATTGATACTGCAATAACTTAAATTTTGAACAATAATAATAATCAAAACATTATACGCGCCAAACAAGTTAATGACTTTATCAATTCAATAGCTTAATAGATAAGACATTGACATTTGAACTAGAAGCTATTAAGTTCAAGTTCCAATGTGAACATTAACACATTTGGTTTACGAATAGAAATTAAAGAATGAAACATCAATAATAAGAATAATATAACTGGGTCAAAGTGCATACATCTAGTATACAACAAATAACCGTCATATTGTACTGTTTCAACCGACCTTAACAGATCTGTTACGCATGCACGTAAACACATCAACTTGATATGCTTGATCTATTACGAGTTTAACTAAGTCAGTAGACGAGAGAGAGGATCGAGGACTCGGCGACACGACATGCTACTCAAATCCGATTATCCCAACCACCATACTGAGTAAAAATAAGAAGACTTGAATGTGAAGTAGAAAGTGTATTCTACAAGCATTCAGAAAGTACGAGGTCCGAATGCAGAAGAGAAACAGGATCCCGGACTAGGGATCCAGGACCGGGTCCTGATCATAGAACGTTACAGATATTGCGTATTTATACATTTAGGTTGAAAAGGAAGCATCATCGAAGTTAGGACGACCAATAGGAAGTAACATTTGAAGTGACATTGATAGTCAGGACAACCAATAGGAAACAACATTGGAGCACGTGACATTAATATCCAGGACGATCATAAAATTGACCAGTAGAAATTAACCAACAGGAATTGACCAATAATTCTCTTAGGATATTGGATGAATATCCTAACAAGATCAGTCATGAGATGACTGTCAAGGCATACAACAGGCTAGAATTTATATTTTTTTAATAGGCATAACAGTTTAAGAGAATATTACAAACTAGTATAACAGACAAATATTGATGTATTCTTTACTTACTTATTTTCACTGTAACCAGATCGATTCCAACCGGAATTCGAAGCTGAAGATGATGATGTCGAGAATGATGATGATGACGGTACATTTCTACTAGACTGACGCATTAGTCTGTTCGAGAAAAAATAATAGAAATAATAATAATAATAATAATAATAATAATAATAATAATGCGAATACACTCTTTAAGTGATTATGTCATATATATATACTTGTAAAATAAGATGATTTGAATTAATTTTTTCTCTAGTTAGCGTTTTGTTAATGAGTTACTGTTCTACAGGATAGGATCGCTAACCCCATGCCCTAAACTTCCCCCGTTAATTGGGCTTAGGATAGGCAGTAGCTGCAGAGGGACTCCAGGCAGAGTTTTTTCTGATAAGATACAAAAAATGAATAGTGTTTTTGTTGGAGACGTTAGATCCCCCGGAACTCACTTGATTATGGTACTAATTCTGGATTTTATGGTTTCGCGCATGGGTTGATCAGTTGCCCTTGAGATTAAATTTCCCACTCGGGAAATCCTTGACTGTCATTGGTTGGTGTATTATTTTAGTACGCTATTTTTGTAACTCTCCAAAGGATATTTCGATCATGATTAAATAAATTCGATTTGTGTACTTATCAACCTCATATTTTACTGTGTGCTTCTAGAATACACTTTCTACATCTTGTCAAGACTTCTTCCTCTACTTCGTGGGGCCTTGAGACGCTCGGATTAGAGTAGCCTATCTTGTCATTGGATCATTTGTCTTCGCTTTCGTTTAGCGAGTAAGGTGAACTAGTAATAGTTCCAAGCATAACAGTTTTATATCCGATTGTATTTCGACAAGAGATGGGAGAGAAAAAAGACGGCAAATGTTTTTTTTATCCAACCGATTTTCACATCAACATTTGTAAATTTCCACGATAATTAGGGACAGAGAGAGAGAACTGCCTCAGTGTGATTTTGATCTATAATAGAATTTTAAGTTTTCCGATTATTCAGTTCTTTCTTTTTAACATGTCATAAACCATAAGTTACAAATCCATGTGATCTTTTCTAAAAAATGTCACAGAATACAAATTTATATTTTATCTAACAAGATTCCATAACATTTATCTAATAGATAAATATTAGAAATCCGGAAGTGCGATACAGCCATTTGATCTTTGTTTGAAATTTTATTGTTTACGGTTAGATAACTTCATAATTTCGATAAGGTTGAACTTCATTCACTACTCACTAGTGACTAGTTTCTCGGGGAAATTTTCGGCGTTCTAGTGAAAAGCCATGACTAATGGAGTTTAATCTGTAGCGGTGAATGTTGTGCGACATAATGGGATTGATTGGAGTTAGACATTAACACCATGAGATATCGACTCAGTGGTAAAAAGGTTAGGTCCTCGTGCGAGAGACTGAAAGTCTTGGGTTCGATTCCTGAGTTCGGAGTTACGGTTGAGCGCTGCCATTGAGGAGTCTCGCGCTAGGAAGAAAACGCCATCCAGTACTTGCAGTTTTCTAATGCTTGTCTAACTTTTATCGATTCATGATCTCAATGAAACTCAACAATGAGATGAGACTAAAAGCAGCTAACCAAGGTCTGAGGGCGAAGTCGTACTGCTGACTGCAAAGGGGTGTGACAGCAGTAAGGTGTTTCCCTCGGACAACCAGCATCTGCAGCGATGCTGCCTCCTCACAAGGAAGGAAGGAGTTAGAAAGGGTTGACCCTGAAAATGTCACACCTCACCCTACCTCACGGATTTCCGTCTCCGTTGGTAAGGGTGCCCACTAAGGGCCTTTAAGAGCGGTGTTGGCAGCCGGGAAGTGATAACTGCCCTCATACCCGTAACAGCACACGAGACCAAACTGGACGAAATCAAATCCTTCCTACCCAATTTTATGTAACTGACCAACTCAACACTCTTCACAACTCATTCATGAAAGTTATCATAGCGAAGAAATTCTCGTTGTTCTAAGTGGAGTTCTTTCCTGTCTGATGTGATGCAATATCGTGTATAGATTGAAATTAAACATTAACACCGTTAGATACACCAGTTCAGCGATTCAGAGTTTAAGCGTTTGTATGCGGGGCCAAATGTCCTGTGTTCAGTTCCTGAGATTACAACGCCGACTACCATGTCAAGGTAGCAGCTACAATCGAGATCAGATTGTTTTCGAAAATAACAACCACAACATGCATCACTACTTCACAACTCTAACAATGTAACACAGTCCAAATTACCTTGAGGAATAATAAATATCCTATTGTCTATACAAATGTAATATATATTTGTCTGAATTTTACAGTGTACAATTTTATAAAAATTATTATTTATTTTGATGATAGCACAAGCCATAATAAAAACAATGTTTGTTTTTCTTTCTTGTTGTTGACATTTACTTACAAAAAACCGTTTCAAAACCGTCATGTTGATGAAAATTACATATAAACGATCATAGATAATGGACACTGGGGAGATTTACACTCACCAGTGTGTGTGTGTGTGTGTTTGTATGTCCGTGTGTCTACTTACTATCACTAGATTTTCTCCTATTCTAATAGTTAACTGATCGACAGACGTACACAATGAGTGATACATAGACACACTACCCCATTTATAGATAGACAGACACATACACGTACAGGACACATAAATAAATGATACATAGACACACTACCCCATTTACAGATAGACAGACATACATACACGTACGTACAGGACACATAAATAAATGAATTTGACAGAATATACACAACATTGTCTAGAATGTGTGTTTTTTAGAGAGTAATTTTTGTAAACAGTATTAAAAGGGAAAAATATTTATGTCTATATCTATATATAT